AAGAATATTAAATATTTCAGAGTTTACGATGAATACAGCGTTCCGCGTTTTCGAGATATTTAATCGTGTATTTTAAGTAGGATCCTTCTCGACGACAGAATGAAATAAGAGAAAAATGCGAAATGATCGATCGAGAGGGGAAATGACGATCGGAAACTCAAACAGCACGTCAATGAGTGGAACGATGCGAAGAAAGGTCACTTTGGCTATTACGTCAATTCCTCGCGGCAGATCGCGCATCGACCGTAACCACTGCGTGTCGGTAATAGCCTTTGCGTCGACCGCGACCACTCGCGCGTCCGATCGCGACGCGACCGCTATCACTAAACGCGATCGATCAAACCCGTACCGCGGTCGGTCGTTAACGTTAAACCTCGAATCACCATGGGTGGTGCAGGAAGGAAAGAAGAATTTATCGTCTACCAGCGACTTCGTCGTATCTTCTAATCCCCCACCTAATAGCGATATAAATTCGTGCAAGTATTCTTAGCGTCTCGCTCTGTTAACGTTTCTTCTTCATCTTCTTTTTTTTTTCGCCGATCACGCGAGCGACTTACACCAAAAACGTATTTCATTCGATCACGATCATCAGTAAAGAATTAAGGTAACCTCCTCCTAATCTCCCCCTCTCTTTTTGTTTCTCCCCGCCTCCCTAATTGTCGCTGCGTTGCAGTTACTGAAATCGAAAACATTGAAATTTCGATTGGCGAATTCGTTGCAGCAGACGCGAATAAACGCGGCGAAAGGATGCAACTTGCGTGCACAAATCCTTTTATAACCGCCGGTCGTTTAGGAAGTCTTAATCGCGCACATATAAACGTTCGCTGAATCGTGCTCGCATAATGCCAAGTCGTAACCATTGTGCTGATGCCGGTGACTTGTTAGTTAAATGATGTTACAACGCCGACTTTCTCGACTCCCGGATTGACAATTATTGCTCCATCTCCAGCGTTCGCTATCAACGCTGGAAAAGCAAAAAGACAACGACGAAGACAATCGTTTAAAGAGAACGTTTGCAATACGTGCTTTCTTGTTAGGATTTGTATTGTGCAGCTCTTGCAAAATCAAATCTATTTGTTTCGTTAAAATATCTCCCTGACGTTTACGTTGTCAGAGAAAGGTAGTATTATCTAGTAACGAGACATAATACGTCAAGGAATTTCTTCGCGCAACCTTCATGAGCAAACAATTATTTTTTAATCTCAACAAGTACTTCAATATTCATTAAGTACTTCAATATTCAATAAAATTTTATTTACAATCATCGATAATGATATTTAAAACGACTGTAGCAAGAAATCTAGTTCTCTTTAGCTAGAAAAGAAATTATTAAAACATTATAGTCAATCAAGTTCCATGGCACTGGCTTAATTGGATGCTCTTGTATTTCTACATTTATCAAGTAAGCCTTTATTTTTATATACGCTTCTAATTTCAGTCGTAATTACAAAGGTATCTGAGAAAGTGAAAGAAATTCTAGAACATCTTACTGACAGCTCTACATTTTATCTAAATATCACGCGATACAAACATCTGCAACATTACTGTCGCAATTATTTCGGAGTGACAGATGCTCGATTCACTATCATCGCGAGCTTTGTCATTTCTCGTGCGGTTGCCATCATCCGAAGACGCTTACGTCGCTTCGGAATCGTACCGCGAGTGTGGGCGAGCTCACGCGAGAATATCTTGAAAAGCATGCGATGCATGATTTCTCGATGGTTGCACAAAATGTACTCGCCTTAAAGAATCGGGCGCATATATTGAAACAAAAAGAGAAATAAATTTGATCAAAGAAATATTTATTCGTAGGAAAAATTGTAAAAAAATTATTTTTCGAAAAATACAAAGTTTAATTTTAGTTTCTTTAGCGACATTCATATTCTATCGTGTAACTCGTTTTTTAAATATTTAATTAATTTTTTGGTAAGTTTTTCTTTTTACAATAATTAGAAATATTATTTTATATTATTGTATAATAGTCATTTTTAATATAACAAAAAATTCACAATATTACGAACAAAGAACATTTGATCTAACAAACGACACAAATTAGACATGTTTTATTTTTGTTAATGACGTACAATTAATGCATTTTAGTTTAAAAAAAAGACAATATTTCCTCACTACATCGCAAATACGAATCAATAATGTCTGTTATTTAATAGTATATGATAATTTAAAACGTCTACAACAATATAAAATACTTAAGATAATCGAATAAAAACTTGAAAATTTAGAATATTCTCATATACTATAAAAATAATCTAGGCTCCTGTGCGGTGTTGGAGAAATGGCGTAAAGTTTATGATTATTAACATGAGCGCGAACTTTTTCTCTAAGAGGAAAACAACTCCTACCTTTTCATTCGAACACAAAGAAATTTTGCACTCGAAGCTGTATTTGAGCTTCACATTCGAATTGGCTCTTTAGAACTTGAGAGACTTCGTCGACCACGATATCATTAGCTTCGCGGCTTATTATATCCGACCAACGTGGGATGCATTTAATTAAAATAATTAATTAAACGCATCCCATGTCCAAAAAAAGCATTCTCTTTTATTTTGTTAAGTAAACACATATAACGAAACAATATTCATGCAAGACGGGATGTAGGTAACATATATAGAATAGAAAGTAGCAATGCATAATCTGCGGTTTTATCCCTTTTTCTGTTTCTGTTTCAATACAGAAGGAAATAGGAAATGTAACAGGATGAGAAGTATAAAGAAGAGATGAGAAAAGTATTTAAATCAAAATTTATTCGTGTGTTCTTTTAATATCGAACACAAGACCAGATCGAGATTGCATCTTAAAAGCGCAGTATTATAGACATTATCTTCACCGTCAAATAATCAATAGATAAACAAGCAAAGCAGAACTTTTGCATAACTCGCCGCCGCTCCTATTTAGACGTGAAACAACATTCATCTCTTTACACGAACTCCAACACGTGGGATTACACAGCAGTTCTCGCTGGTCACTCGAATCAAGTAGCCATTCAGACGAGGTAGAACATAATTGCGTTTTGCGCTTTGCTTCACTACCGGCATGTACAATATTTGACAATGCACGCAATAAAAGCAAATGCGGAAATGTATTTCCCGTGCGAAATCCTTCCGGTCGAGCAAGTGAATGCGATTTTGTCGAGACGTAAGAGGATGCATAAAACTCTTGAAATGTAGGTATATATATATATGTATATAATCCGACCAGTACATTCGATATTGTATAATTTTATTGTATCGCATGTATGTACTTGTCGGATTGATGAAGAAACTGTAGGATTACCTTTTGTTTTCTTTTCGTTTTATTTATTAAATGCATACGAATATGACACGTGTCCGAATGTTGAAATATTTTTTCTATTACAATTCTATGATATTCTCTAAAAGCAAGTGTGAGCTTTGCACTTTCACGTTCTACTTACGTGAGACATATTGTCACGAGTTTACATAAGATTATTCAATACTAGCTGTCAGCCATCCATCGTCAGTGAAGAATATACATTGTCGCGAATTTACATAAGACTATTCGATCATGTCAGCTGTCTGTCTTAGCGGAACAAAATTATTTTCATATTTTTACTAATTTATTTTCAATTTTAATTAAATTTATAAGCTTTTTGTATGTATATAATGAGATATCGCGCTGATGCCGTATCTGTTCGAGAAATTAATCATCGGAAAAGTATTTCAGGATTATTTATTGGAAAATATCTGTGTCGCATTTGTTTCAACGTCCCAGATAATTATCCCGATTGTGCTTGCTTCCGTGATTTCTTTTGCAAAAATTGCCGTTAAAGCCCTATCGACTCTACTGCCGTATTATCGTACTTGTCAAGCACAGACAAAGGATTACAATGTAGCCTTCAACGCGTATATGTTCCTAACGTTACCACCATGGTAACGAGAATGGATTATACGGACCGTAGACGGATAAGAGCGATACTGGTCGATGTTAACCAAAGCCACCGGCGATGCTTTGATGTAAAATTGAGATAGTAAGAGAAACGCGCCGGAACTACACGTAATGTTACACGACACGGGGTAACATTACATTTTACCGAACGCAGTACCCTCCAATAATTCTTCCGACAAACGATTTTACTTTGCGCCGTCTTTTTTGCCGTAGCGCGGAAAACGGAGAAGTGGACTGAAAGGAATGATTCACGAGATATTCGTATAAAAGAGACATCGACATGGATATTAATTTCTGTAGACCACGTTACAAAGATACCTTTTTTTCAAACGACACATGAATCAAGCGCGCTGCGTGCCATTTCGACACGATCGCGCGTTTCAATTGCCCCCCCACGTTAAAGCGATGAAATATTCTTTAGAAAAAGTATTTCTTTGTACGATGAATATTTTGCCATATCGCAAGTACTCGAGTTACGTGCAAAATTGGATTGCAATCGAGAACAAAACTGTAAAAGAAGCATTTTATTTTCGAAATATCGGAAAAAAGTTACTGGGAACGAGGCCAAAAGTAATACAAGTTGCAAGACGTTGAGCAAGTTTTCATGTAATTAGATAAAGATTTAATCTTTACCATACTGTAGAATTTCAGTAGATTTTATCCGCGAATTTAATGACATTGATAAAGACCGCGTATATATATATATATATATATGTATTACGCTTCACGAAGCGGAGAGTAAAAATGCAAAGTGCACATAACGTGGGGAAAAATCGTGGGGCTCCGGCAAACAGATAGACGTCGTTCCGCCTATCGAAGAGTTTCGTTTCGATTTGCAGGAGACCTAGATCCTAATGATAGATAGGAGATACGCGCGATGCGTTCACGCGGGGCCGCGCGCGGCGCGGCGCGGCGCGTCGTCCTTGGCGAGCTTGCACTCACTTACGAACGAGGGGGTGGATTTCCAGCGACGCTCGCGCATCCCCTCGCCGTGGAGCCGACCGGCCGGCGGGGTAGGTGGCTGCGTTCGAAATATCGGCCGAGGAGACTCGCGCTCTGCCATCGGCTTCTCCCTTCAGTGCGACGCGCGACCTAACGCCGGCAAGACCGACGCCGCCCTCGCCCCCGTGTAAAGCTCAACGAGATCTGTGGTGTAACCACGAGACGAGAGAAAGCTCGAAATTGAAAAAAGATTAGAAATCACCGCGGGACGTTGATCCGCATGGTCGATCCGAGTGAGTCGACGCAGGCTCGAGGAGAGATCATACGAGAGATATTTCGGAAAGATCGATCTTGAAAAAGATTTTTGAGAAAGCAAGATAAAAGAGAAGATAGAGTCAAGGAGAAGGAAAGAAATTTCAGCCGAAATACTGAGAAAATTGACATAGAATCTTCGACAAAATAGTCGAAAATTGTCAGACCACCCATTCAATCTCGTTTTGTAAAATATGACAGAACAATTCCGGTGTGCGAGAAAAGATAAAGAATCGAATTGATCGCGCGGCAGAAAAGCCAAGGCAGAAAATAAAATTTAAAGAACAAATGATACGTACCGTGCGCGAAATATGGAAATGCGCGAGTTGTTTCGAGAATAAGAATTGAATAGCTCAGAAAAGCGAGTTCTGCGAAGAGAGTCCCGTTGTGAGAGAAAATTACTGGACAAAACGGGGAAACCCTCCACTGTCAGAATGTCATCGTCGGCGAAAATCGAAGGTAAATTCTTATTTATGTTTGCGTGAGCGCGCCTGATTTAGAGTATTAAAAAGAAAATCAAGTCTCTTACTCGGTAGGAAAGATATTGATTAAAACCTCGATTAAAACAATTGGTTGACGATTATTGAAAAACCGTATTATATCACTTGCCATACATATTGAATATAATTGAAATATTACAAAGGTTTTAAATTAATAAACTGAAAGTAGTAGGTGCTAGGAAAAAATTGTATCTCTCCAAATTTTCGAAAAATTGTGTATCCATTATTAATTTCTCGAAAAATATTATTTTTATATATTTAAATACTTGTCATTTTGATACTTCAAAAAACCTTGTTCACGACTAAATTAATAATTGAATATTGATATAAATATTTGTCTACATATAGGCTTTATATGTATCAGCACAATATTTTTTTACAAATTGTTATAGACGATATTTTTGAAGAAAGTCATCATTTTATCGTATCGTTTTATAGCAATGTAAATGTTATCGTATCGTTTTGTAGCAAATATTTACTATAAATAACTACTAAATAATCACTGGATAGCTATTACCTAAAATCTATTAACGTTATATTTATTGAGTCAGGAGAAGTTACAATTTATTAGTATGTTATTTATAGATCATCGCTAGACACAACCTAGTCAA